TTCACCATACTTATTCAGTATGTACACTGAGCAAATAATCTGAGAACCTGTATAATATGGCATCAGGATTGGAGGACAACTCATTAACAACCTGTGATATGTAGATTGTTCAACCCTGTTTGCTGAAAGTGAAGAGGACTTAAAATACTTACTGATGAAGATCAAAGACCACAACCTTCAGTATGGGTTGCACCTCAGTGTAAAGAAAACAAGAATCCTCATCACTAGACTAATAAATAGCATCATGATAAATGGAGAAAAGATTGAAGTTGTTAAAGACTTCATTTTATTTACATGGATCCACAATCAACACTCATGGAAGCAACAGTCAAGAAACCAAATGATGTATTGCATTAATCAATTCTGCTGCAAAAGAACCATTTAAACGTGTTCATGAGCAAATATGTCAGTTTGAGGACTAAGGTGTGCCTGACCCAAGCCATGGTATTTTCAAAAGCTTCATATGCATGTGAAAGTTGGACAATGAATAAGGAAGACCACAGAAGAATTGATGCACTTGAGTTATGGTCTTGAAGAATATTAAAAGTACCATGGACTGCCAAAAAACAAACAAATCTGTGTTGGAAGTATATCCAGAATGTTACTTAGATGCCAGGATGACTAGACTTCGTCTCTCATACTTTAGGCACATTACAGGAGGGCCCAATCCTGGAGGATACCATGCTACCTAAAGCAGAAGGCCAGCAAAAAGGAGGAAGACCCCTAACAAGAAGAACTGGCACACCAAAGAGCTTAAGCTTTACAACAATTGTGAGGGTGGCGCAGGACTGTACAGGGTTTCGTTCTGCTGTGTATAAAGTCAATTATGAGTTGGAAAAAACTTGATGGTGCCTAACAACAACAAACTCCTGATCTCCTTTCTCTGCCATGCAATCCACATAGACACACATCTGCTTCATCACACATCTGCTTCATCTGCAGACTTTCTCATGAGAGAAACTGGCAATTCTTTCCTTCTAGTTGCTCAGGTTCAACACTTTGAAGTCATCTTTGACTCTTTTACTGTCACAACTCACTTTCAATTTGTCAAGAGAACCTGTTGCTAAACAATCAAAATACATCCAGACTCTGATTCTTCGGTCTCCACAGTTAATACACAGATTCAAGCCACCACTATCACCTCTCACCTGGATTACTACTGTTCAGCTTCCTAGTCTCTCTGCTTGTACCCTTGCTCCCCCATAGTCTAAGCTCAAAACAATTTAAAAGAAGTTTGTTGTTGTGAAGTGCCATCGAGTCAGTTCTGACCCATAGCGACCCTGTATAGGGTTTCCGAGGGGCAGATGTTAGAAAGTCAGATTGTGCCCTCATTTGCTTAAAACACTTCAAGGGCTTCCTATCTCAATCAAAAGGCCAGAGTCCTTTCAATCACCTCTATGGTTGCCTACTAATACCCTTTTCCTCTGTGACCTCGTGTTGGTATGTTTGCTTCTATTAATTACACTCCAGCCATATTTACCTCCCTTTTCAAATATGCATGCACGGGGGCACTGGTGGTTTAGTCTTAAGAGTTCTCAGCTTCCATGCAGAAGACCCAGTTCTAATCCCAGCCATGCTCCTTGAGCACATTCAACACCAGTCTGTCAGTGGAAATATACATGTTGCTGATGCTGAATGTGTTTCAGTGTTGCTTGGAGATTAAGATGAACTAGGAAGAAAGGCCTGGCAGTCTACTTTTTAAAACCAGCCAACAAAACCCATATGTATCACAATGGTGCCATCTACAAATGAGAATGGAGATGACTCAGGATCAAACATCTTGAACTGTTGTTGTTGTTAAGTGTCACTGAGTCAATTCTGACACCTAGCAACTCTGTATATGGTTTACAAGGAGTAGCTAGTTGGTTTGAATTGTCAACCTTGCAGTTAGCAGTCCAGTGCTTATGCAATAGTGCCAAAACAGGACTCCAGAGTCGCCTTGCCGACTTATAGTGACCCTGCACAGGGTTTCCGAGGCTGTAAATCTTTAAAGGAGCAGAACGTCTCATCTTTCTCCTGCAGAACCGCTGGTAGTTTTGAACTGCTTACCTTGAGGTTGGCAGGCCGACTCATAACCAGTACGCTACCAGAGCTCCTTAACAAGGCGGCTATACCCTGCATGTTTGAGTTGCACTGGCTGCTCTCACTACTTGGATATTCTTCCCCCTAGCTTCTTCAGATTCCCTCAAGCCCCTTTCTTGAATTACCTTATTTAAAAGTGAACAATGACCTACAAACCAACACTCCCCATTCTTCTCCTCAGTTTTATCTTCAAAGCATTTGTCTTCATTTGATTCATTATACATTTACATATTCAGGAACTGTCTATTTCTCCCTAGTAAAATATAAGCTCCATAACAAAAGGTAAACAAATTTGTGCTCTAGTTTCAGGGTCCTTTAGTACTCCTGGTGTGACACTGTAGGATTAGCAATGGACTGCGTACAGATGAGATCATATTTAACTATGGAGTGAAAAGGAACATTACACCTTGAGAAACTACCCTACCCTTTGTGGGCTGGGTAAAGAAGGTAGAGGCCACAAGACTAGCAAAAAATGAATCTTTTGTTTTTGAAAATCACACTTACAACACCTTTATTTCAATTCCAACCAGTAGCGTCAGAATGCTGTGAAGCCAGCCAAATTAGATCAATCCATTGGTCACTTTTAGAAATTACCTGAAAACTTCACAGTATCTGTCCTTCGGGAGTTTTGAGATATATATATACACACACACAAAAAGCCATCCTTTCCCAAATACATAGGACTTGGATTATTGCAGTTTTCTTAAAGTACCATACCTTTCTTTCTTCTGGGCCTCAGCACATACTTTCTTTAGATCCCCACTTTCTCTGTAGGAAAAAAACAAAACAAAACTCTGGTGACTTTCCAAGTCTTGGATAAGTGGTACTCTTTCTAGACACCTCAAAGATAACATCCTATTAGAGTGGTTTTTTTGTTGCTGTTTGTTTAACTACATAGATGCAAACTGTGTCTCTTTCATTGTCTACACTGTGCCTAGCAAGGCTAGATTTTTAGAACTACATCTATTCTGCAACGTGAAGAATTGAATCCAATCTATCAGTCCATCAATGGTCTTTCAAACCTCAAGTTTTCTCATGGTGTACGTCTCTTTAAAAACAAACAATAATTTATTAACAAATGACTATCTTTTAAAGATACTAAATATGGGAGATTTCAGTGGGTGGTTCCTCCCCCTCATACGGTATCCTTAAAGGCTGCAAGAATTGTTACAGAGGAATCTTGTTTAGTCTCACTCGAAACGGACTTGACAAGCCACTTTCAACGCCCTGCGTGGCTTTATGCGACTGCTCAATAAAGCAGAGATTATCCCTGTGCAGAAGTAAACAAAGGCTCAATTGCACATGGATCCCTATTTCACCCCGCGCGTGGTCACTAGTGAATGTGCAAGCAGCGTCTGCAGCACTGGAGCACCCATTTTCACTTTAGCCCTTTCACAGATAACCAATAAGGTTGCTCCTTTCAATCCAACCTATGGAATCTCGAAATCCACACCTCACCATGCGCCGGGGCTTGGACTAGTCCTTCCTACTCAGATTCCTAGAGAAAGTCCCTTAGAATGAGAGTAGTAGCCCTAGATGGCTTCGTTTCAGAAATTCCAAAAGAAAAAAAGAAAAATCTTGACGAAGATAGTCAGGAAAGGAAGCAGTCAAGCCAAGCCCACAATCTGTCAATCCGTTTCCTAACCGTTGGCTCTTGGCTCATAGGGTCGACACAGGCAACGCTGCGGTAATTCCTGGGGGTTGTAGTTTCTGTCGCAAACAGAACGCAAGCAGCATAAAAACTACATTTCCCAGAAGTCAAAGCGATGGCCTCCTCCCCTTCTCTTCCCCCCTCCCCACCTACCTATGCTCCGAGGTTTGGCTCAATAAAGAGGCCGTCACTATATCTAGACGAATCTTAAATTTAGCCTGTTTCTTCCAGTAATGCCCCTTGTCTTGTTTCTTCCCGCTGCTTGTCTTGATAAAGTTTCAGTGTACTTCTTAATTTTTCCCCCGTTCTCCACACCAGGAACATCAAACGTCTAGGAACGGAAAACGCCCCCGACGCGTTAAGTGCTTCTTAAGGCGCATGCGCCGCACTTGCCGTCACGCACGCACAAGAACCGGCAGCGGTTGGCGGCCGCGCGTGGAGTTGGGGTCTGGAGGTAGCCTGCGGGAGGGCGGGGCTTTTTCCAAAGGCTTTGCCTTCGCTAGTCGCGCCTGCCTGGGCGGGGAAGAGGGCGCAGGGGCAGGGGCGGCTCCTGGTTTATGCCGGGCGGGGAAAGGGGTGGGGCTGGGGGGGTGAGGACCCTATCTCCCCTCCCTGCTCCCGCCCTCTGGGCCGATCCCCACCGATGGGGCTGGGCGAAGAGGCGGGCTCTGCGCCTGGGGCCCTGCCGCTCCGCCAGCTCTGCGGCCCAGCTGGGTGCGGGACCGCCCAGTCCTCCTTTGGCTTGGCGGGCCGTGGGCTAGGGCGCAGGGATCGGAGAAGGAGCGGCGTCTTCCCGGGGGACTGGATCAGCAGGGCCAAGGGCGCTGTCTTCCAACGTCGTCGTCGCTGCCAAGACTACAGCTGCTGTAGGCTCCTGTCCCCCGGGAGCGCTCAGTTCTCTGACCGCTGCGGCCAGTGGGCCAGGGTTCGGCGCTGCATCCCCGCCGGCGCTCAGCGGTCCGCTGGGGCGCTGGGAGGAGCTGCAGAGGGCGGGGACTGGTGCCGGAGGAGAGGCGGGGTGGAAGCGCTCAGGAGACCGCGGTGTTGGCACAGACAAAACCCCGCAAGATTGGAGCACATTCAACTGGTACCAGCCTTTGGGGACAGAGCACGGACTTGACAGCTCTACGACGTGATCATATCCGCTGACCCCGCGAGACGGAGGAGACCACTTCTCCGAGACTCCCTCTCCACCAGAGCCAGTGCCGAAGGTTGCAACTTTCCAACGCCACCCACCCCCGAACCCCGCTTCAATCTGACCATTAGTAGACTGCTTCTTGGTGTAGAATGACAGGGTGAATTTATCTTGTAGATTGGTGGAAAATATCTATATAAGAGACAACTGGTTTCAAATGTCACCCGAACGTGCGCTTTCGTGACGACTCGGTTTCCCTGACTTTGCTCTTTGTAAAAAATACAAACTGCTTTGGAGAAATGGTGAAAGGTAACTGAAGACTGAAAAGGAAAAAGCTCCCAAGTTTGATATGGCTGAAGGAGAGAATGAAGTGAGATGGGATGGACTGTGCAGTAGAGATTCAAGTACCAGAGAGACAGCACTGGAACACATTAGACAAATTGTTTTGAGAAAAACCGAGTATCTTTGTTCAGTGAAAGAGACACCTTATCGTCCATCAGAAGGGCTTTCAAATGCTGTTTCTTTGGATGGGTTGAATAAGCTTCTTGCTCATCTGCTCATGCTTTCTAAAAGGTGTCCCTTTAAAGATGTAAGGGAGAAAAGTGAGTTTATTCTCAAGAGCGTCCAGGTAAGTAGAGCCTTCTTATAAGTACAATTGTCTATCTAGTATAGTAAAATTGTACTTGCAATTACTTTGTATTCCTTCTAATAGGTTGTCACGTTGTAAACTCGAATTATGAGTTTATAATACATCTTAATACATGAGAGTATTCAGTAAAAACCCTGAAATTTGAGTTAGCATAGGAAAAAACGTACTACAATAAAAAGCAATTTTCTAATATGAGTAATGAAAATATTGTCTTTCTAGGGAATTTTAGGCAGAAACTATATTCTTGCTGGAAATATATATGATAGTTAATTGCATATAGACTTACTTTTCTATATATTCACTTTAACATGTTGTTGTGAAGTATAGGCAGTATACTTTTCACATTATTACAAATGTGGTCAGTGTGGCAAGTGTCCCATGTAAAACCCTTTAAAAATGATAAAAGGTATTCAATGTTTCCTAGTTTGTTTGTTCAAGATAATCGCTGAAACAATTTTCTCTTGTTCTTAAAAGCAAAACAAAAAACAAGGTGTGCTCTCTAAATGTAAGCCCTCCCCCTCTTTCTTTCAAAAAAAATAATTATATACAATAATGCAAGTACTTCACATCTTCAAGTTGAACCTAGATAGTGTATATGGTGGGAACAATTTCATGGTCAATGATTCAAGCAACTTTTTCTGTGTTTGCTTGCATGATTTGTTTGTTTTCACATACATTTAAATTGTGAGTGCAGTAGATTAAAAATGTTTTCCCCCATCAATTTATTTATTATAAGTTTACTTTTTGTTTTATTTTTTTAGAGGAAGTTTGATTTTAGGTATTAAGAATGTTCAGTGTTCAATATTCTTTATGTATACTTGTCTGTGTATTAGGTATTCAAACCACTTGTGTTGTTCCAAGTCATAGTATGTGAAGTCTTAAACATTTATAATTGACTTGGCTATATATGTAAACTAAAATTAGTAGTTTTTCTGGACTGACTTAAGTTTTGTTTAAAACAACAGAAAAATAATAATTTCCATAAAACTCAGACTCTATTTAAGATCTTGGGGTATTTCTTCTCAAGAACACTTTGGAAACAATCATTACAATTCACTTATCCAGAGTTACCAAAAATAAATTAATTTTCTAGAGACCTGAAAATTCTATGTATCAAAAGTTATTTCTTTCTCTTATCTCTTTGACTGTGGTGACTAAATGGCTTCCCCTGCCCCCAGTACTTGGAGGTTCATCAGAATGCACCACAAGTACAGTTGTATAGCAGAGGGTGGAATCTATAGGACTGTATGACCCTACGCTGAGAGATGCTGTTGCGATAATGTTTTTGGAATTTTGTGTCTAATTGGTAGTTTTCTGTCTCTTCTCTTGCTGTCAATATACTTCACTTTGATGTCTTGCTGAATCTTTCATTTTGCTGCATATTTATGTTATTAGAGTGGGAAACCAAATAACCAATTTTGTTAAGAATTATATTGAAAAATAGAAACATGTGGGCTCTAGAGAAGTTATATTGAAAATGGAAACAAGTTCTAAAGAGTTATATTGAAAAGAGGAACAAGGTTAAAGGTCTGTGATATAATGGTAGGTAAATGGGTCCTGGATCCCCGGGTGGTGCAAACTGTTACCATGTTCAGCTGCTAAACAGAAGGTTGGAGGTTTGAGTCCACTCAAAGGCTCTGGCAATCCATTTGTAGAAAATCAGCCATTGAAAACCCTATGGAGCATAGTTCTACTCTCACACACATGGGGTCACCATGAGTTGTATGTAATCAGTTTGACACCAACTGTGTTTTTCTTTTTTTAAAATGGCACTGGAGTGGGACGAATGTAGCCTCAGATTCTATTCCTTGGTGATTCAAGCTCACCATCCACTCCTTGGAAACCCTATACAGGGTCGCTATGAGTCAGAACCGGCTTGATAGCACTTAACAGCAACAACAACATTGTATGTACTAAGAAAGCCTGGTGGCATAATGGGTTATGAGATCGGCTGCTCACTGCACGGTCAGAAGTTTGAATCTACCAGTTGTTCTGTGGGAGAAAGATGAGGCGCTTTGGTCCCATAAAGATGTTCAGCCTCAAATGTACGCATCATGAGTCAGAACCAACTCCACGGCACACAACTACCATGACAACCCGTAATGTACTAAGGAATCTGATGGCATAGTGATTAAGCACCTGGCTGCTAACCAGAAGGTTGGTAATTTGAACCCACTAGCCACTCTGTAGAAGAAAAACGTGGCAATCTACTTTTATAAGGAAATTGATGTTGTTAGTGCTGACTCATAGTGGCCCTGTATAGAATTTCTGAGGAGCAGCTGGTGGGTTTGAATTGCCGACTTTCTAGTTCAAAGTCCAGTGCTTGATCCTACAGCACCACACCAGGAGTCCCTCATAAAGCCTTGGAAACTCTATGGGGCAGTTGTCCTAAAGGTTACTGAGTCGGAAGCAACTCACTGGCACACAACAACATTAATGTACTGCTTGGCCTCTCTCAGTTTGGGTTTCCACATCTACAAGTCTAAAATGGGGATACCATGGTAGAGCTGCTTTGAGAATGAAATGAGGTGGACAGTACCCCAGCAGGGAGTGGACGTGCCTCTCCCTTTTCATAAGTGAAATACATGACTTATATAATATTTGGAGTGTGGCGCCGTAGGATTAGCTCAGGACTGCAGGGTCAGTTTAAACCACAAGGTCAGTGGTTCAAACTCACCAACCACTCCTTGGAAACCCTCTACAGGGTTGCTATGAGTTGGAAGTGACTCGACGGCACTTAACAACAACAACAACATATTTATTTCAAGACTCATTCATCTTTCCAAAAGATTTAAAAATCACTTCTATTGTGAAGGTTTCATGTAGATTTGTGCTCGTTTTCATCTATTGCACTTTATTCCCACCACAAGTAAAACAGACACTACCCTTATTTTGCTTTTAGTCACATGCTTATGTGTCTGTCTTCCTTCCCAGGGCTGGTATCGCAAGAATATTGGCTAGAACCTGCAAGCTACTAAATAATATTTAGTGGATATGCAGTTGACTTCTTTTTGTTTCTAAATCAGACAATAGATGAAGTTACCTGATAAGTAAGTTTCTACCCCTACATCATTTAATCAACAAATGTTTGTTGAACCCCTGGCGACTGTCATTCTAAGAACTGCCACAGAGTTGATTTCAGTTGCTAGGGACCCTAAAGGACAAAGTTGTTAAGTGCCATTGAGTTGGTTCTGACTCACAGCAACCTTCTATAGGGTTTCTGAGAAGTGGCTGGTGAGCTTGAAGCTTGAACCTTGCAGTTCAAATGGCTTTGCAGTCTGGTGCATTAACCCACAGCACCACACCAGGATTCCATAGTACTGAGTAGAACTGGCAAATAGAGGTTCCAAGGCTATAATCTTTATGGAAGCACACTGTCACATCTTTTTCCTATAGAGTGACTGTTGGGTTCAAACCACAGCCAAGTGCTTAACCACTGTACCATCAAGGCTCCTGGACTGTGGACCAGTGGACAATTTTGACATTCTACTCAAGGAAGACTATTGTAAAGAAGTAAATATGAAATTTTATCTTTAGATGAGGAAAGAGTTCCTTAAGGAGATGACATTTAATAAGAGACTTGATGAGTGAATAAATCCAGGCCAAAGTGAGATTTATAAGGGGGAGCATTCCAAACATAGGAAACAGTATATGTGAAGGCCTCTTGGTACAGAGAGTAGATGAGTTGTAAGAATTCAAAGTAATGAAAAAATGTTTGGAGTATACAGTTTGAGGGGACCATGAAAGCTTACAAACACATGCTTTGGAATCAGACCTGGGTTCAAATTTTGGCTCCAATATTTTATTAACTCTGTGCTGTTAACTTGTTTAATCTCTTTTATGTCTCAAGGTACATTATCTGTCTTTGATTTAGTGTCCTTAAAATGAAGATGATGTTAATAATACCTGCCTCACAGTGTTGCTGTAAGAATAAAATGAAATAATCTTACGAAGTATAGTGTAGTACCTACCTACAGACCCATTGCCATCTAGTTGATTCCAACTCTTAGCAACACTAGAGTTTCTGAGACTGTAAATCTTTATGGGAGCAGACAACCTCATCTTTATGTTTAGGAGTAGCTGATGGGTTTGAGCCATTGTTACGGTTAGCAATCCAATACCTAACCCACAGCACTTCCAGGACTCTTGACTTAGTACAGTGCCTAGCACATAAGAAGTGCTCAATAAGTGTTATATATTCTTACTGTTACTAGGTATATGGCAGGCCCTGATAAGGGGTTTAGACTTTATCCTAGGAACAATAAATAGGAAGCCTTTGAAGGGTCTTGAACAAGGTGGTGACATGACTGATGATGTGTTAGAAGGACCATTCCGGAAGCAGTGTAGAGAATGGATTTCTAGGGTCAAGAGTGAGTGCTCAATATCAGTTAGCAGGTTGTTCCAGTAGTTGAGGAGAAAATGATGGTGGATAGGATGTGGTAAGGGAAGTGGAAAAAGTGATGGGCTTGGGAGATATCTAAGAGAAATCACAGCATATAGGATTTAATTGGATTTAGGCGATGAGAAAAACATTAAAATGAAGAATGACTCTTTAAGTTTCTGGTTTGAGCTTCTGGGTGAATAGTGTGATTGTCTCCTGAGACAGAAGAGTGGCAGGAGGTTGATTTAGGGAAAACGTGATGCGTTTTCTTTTAGACATGTTGAAGTTAAGGTGCCTATGAGACATTCGGTTAGAAACAGCTCCTTAATGGCTTTCTGCCCTCGCTGTTTCTGTTCTAGTTCTACTATTGTAGTCTCCTACTTCTCCAGACTTAACCCATCCCCACCTTCATGTTCATCCTCCACAGAGCTGCAGAGCCATTTATCCAAAAGGAAAATCTGGTATGTTACTGTCTTGCCTAAAACCTGTTAGCAGAGGGCTAGAGTCTGAATTCTTAAGAATGGCATATAATGCTCACCATTAATTGGCTTCCATGTAGCTCTCCAGCCTCACTGATCAGCCACATCTCTGCCCAACT